CGCCGTGCCAGATTATTATGGCAACGTACCAGACATCCAGCCGACCGCCACTCCTACAATTATCACTGTAAAAAATTAAAAAAAGAATTAGCCACCTTCAGATCCCAATCATTCAATTCCTACCTCACCACACTCTCTGCTCATGATAATTCCCTTTGGAATATCACCAGAAAAATCCTCAAATCCCATCATATTTCCCACCCTCTTCGACGAGATGATGGCTCCTGGGCAGCATCTGATGAAGATAAAGCCGAGGAATTTGCCAAACACCTTTCCTATACTTTCGCTCCTCATCCAGAATCCCATCCCAGCCACACAGTAAAAGTAGAAGAATCCCTCTCAATACCTATCCCACTCTCCTTACCACCTAAAGCTGTTAATCCCTCTGAGGTCAAATACCTTTTACGGAAAATCACACCTCGCAAATCTCCTGGATATGACCTTCTAACCCCACAGATCCTTCGACAACTTCCATCTAAAGCCATCACATTTCTTACATATATATACAATTGCATCCTACGAACTACCCACTTCCCTCTTTTATGGAAACATTCCACCATCGTCCTCTTCTTGAAACCAGGCAAACCTTCCAACAATACAGCATCCTATAGACCAATTAGCCTACTCCCAATCCTCTCAAAAATTTTTGAAAAGATCCTACTGAAACGAATCCTACCTATAATTGAATCCTATAACCTTCCTACTCATCAATTCGGATTTCGTTCCCAACATTCCACTGTCCAGCAAGGACTCCGAGTTGTTGACCATATATCCTCAACCCTAGAAAGCAAGCAGTATTGCTCGGGTGCATTTCTGGACATAGCGCAAGCTTTTGACCGGGTATGGCACGCCGGATTACTCTTCAAGCTTAAAATCCATCTACCACAGTCCTTATACCTAGTACTCCGATCCTATCTTTCCGACCGCTCCTTCCGAGTTCGCTGTGGCACCGAATTCTCCGACTGTTACTCAATTGAGGCTGGCGTTCCTCAAGGCAGCGTCTTGGGCCCCATCCTTTACATTCTCTTTACCGCTGATATTCCTGTCCATCCCGATACCCTCCTGGCAACTTTCGCTGATGACACTGCTATCCTTTCTTCCAACTCAGATCCTGAAACAGCGTCCGCAAACTTACAAAGGCACCTCTTCCTGATTGAACACTGGTGTAAGAAATGGCGCATTAAGGTAAACGAATCTAAATGTAAACACATTACCTTCACCCTTCGGCGTAATACCTGCCCACCAGTTTATTTTAACTCCATCCAGCTTCCTTTCTCAGATACAGTCCGGTATCTTGGCTTTCTCTTAGACAGACGACTAACATGGAATCCACATACTCGACTTAAAAGACAGGAACTTAACAGACGATATGGCCAGCTATATAGACTACTGAATAGAAAATCTAAACTTTCTGGTGAAAACAAATTACTGATCTACAAGACAATACTGAAACCCATCTGGACTTACGGACTAGAACTATGGGGAACAGCCAAATTTTCTAACATCAAACGCATTCAATCCTTTCAGTCTAAAGTCCTCCGTACAATAGTCAATGCTCCCTTCTATGTAACCAATAAAACCCTACATCATGACCTTAATATCCCATTTATTCTTGATCTTATCCCAGCCAAATTTTCCAAATTTCACCAGAACCTTTCTCATCACCCAAATCCCGTTGTACAATCCCTATCAAGCACCACCCATCCCTACAATCCCCTTCGTAGGTTAAAGCGGCAGTGGCCACGAGACCTTTTGTAAATATGGATATTTTGGAGTTCTAGCAATGGCCAGATTCTCCACTCAAGTCATGAGTGTCTGTGGCTGTAGCGCTCTTACTCATCCTCCGCTGGTTTAAAATACCAGTGAAGTGGCTGAGGGAGAAGCGTAGGGATCTCCTATTCCCTTTTCCCTCCACATGTGGAGGGGACAGGATTGGTTCGGAGATCACCTGGCAAATTGTAAATAATGTATGTTTTATATAAGGTGTTTGTTTTACTTTTATTTCTATTTTTATTTACTTATGTGTATATATATTTTTTTTTTCTTTACTCTTTTGTTCTTTCTTCTTATTCTTTTGTTATTACTTTATTTATTTATATTTTTGTATATACGGTATGAATGCAATCTCTGAACTCTATTATAAGTGTCCTTAACTGTGACAAATTGTAATATTTCTGAATAAAGTGTTTTAATAAAAAAAAAAAAAAAAAAAAAAATGTACTTTTTTCTTCTTCCCCCGTTTTTTATGCTATATGCTATTTTTTTCCGGCCCAAGAGAGAGGACGAAGAATTAATGTTAGAGTTATTAAAAGTTCCCATGGAACCAGGATTCGATATCGTGATATTCCGTTAATCAGGGTGGCGGACAACGTTTGTATTACACGTCCTACCCCCGTATAAAAATCACAACAAAAAAATGAACTTATCAGAAAAATAATAATATAGAGTGAATTAAATTTTAACGTCTACCACTAGAAGATATTAACATACCTATATAATGTAATACAACTTATTTTTGTATAGTAAAGATATGAGAAGGAGTTAGTCGAGGGTGCGGTCAAATAAATAAAAAATTAAAATATATTAATTATTTTAATTTTTGCCGACGTTTCGACAAACTTTGCAGGTCGTCTTCAGGGCTACAAAAGATACAAAACATGTTGAAAATAAAAAATAAATATAAGTATATATAAAATAAGAAGAAGTTATCAGATACAGAAATAAAAGATGGTATCAGAGATATAGATATATACCCACTATACCTCTGATACCATCTTATTATCATATTTTATATATACTTATATTTATTTTTTATTTTCACCATGTTTTGTATCTTTTGTAGCCCTGAAGACGACCAGCAAAGTGGGTCGAAACGTCGGCCAAAATTAAAATAATTAATATATTATAATTTTTATTTATTTGACCGCACCCTCGACTAACTCCTTCTCATATTATATCAACGGTCAACCATCTCTACATCATTATAGTAAAGATAATTTAAACAATTGCCTAATTCTTTATTGAAATTGAAATCATTAAAAAAGTTTTCTGTTTTTTTTTAAATATTAAAATCCCATTTTTATAGTTCGATTTATTTGTATGTTTTTAATACCTATCTTTCTCTAAATAGAAAATATTACAATAAATATTTACTACAAATAATATGCATTTTCGTACGTATTTTAAAATAAAAAGTTGGTGGCTGCCAGAAGGATGTAAATTTAATTTGTGTCTAGATTTATTTTTCATGATATGTTTAGATGTTTATAAAGGTAGCTTTTACGAAAAGAAATAAGATAATATCAGCTGTTCATTTCTAACACTAAACCATGACCATTAGCAGGAAGCTTAAAATATTTACAAAGACGGAGTTGTCTGGTTTTGGAATTCCACGCATTTAATAAAAAAATGTCTAAATTTATTTGACCATTTAAAAAGAATACTTGAGTGAATACTAAAAAAGAAAAGAGGGCAAAAAAACAGACAAAAAATTAAAGAATATACAATGGGTGTGGTCTGTAAGAGAAATGTGCCTGGACGCAGTACTTCATTAAACAATCCTTCACAAGTTTTCAAGTCAGCAGAATAAATATCTGTAAATGAAGAACAACCACTATAAAAACAGCGTTAGAATTTAAAATTAGGAATGCAAAGGTACTTTAGGCAAACTAAACATTTTTTAAACAATTGAAAAACTAATGTTACTTTTTACATTTTAGAACATCCGCTTGTTTGATAAACTTTTATTGCACGTAATCCATCTATTAAAAAAAATCATTCTGTGATGCATTCCTCAAGGATCAGTCGTATGTCTAGTATTATCTATCTTATACCGCAATTAGCTCATGCGTTGACAATATTGTAGTAAAGCTAAAAATATTTTTATAGATATTAATCATTTCAATCGTTTCATCAGTTGAAAAAACCAATGGGTTTAAACTTATGTGTTGGAACAATGAAGAGATTTATTATCTCGGAATACTTTTAGATTCTGACTTTTCTCGTATTGTATAGAATAGAAATAAGAAGAAAATGTACTCTTAAATTAATTTGAGCAACCATGTTTAAATGGGGATACTCCTTAAGCAGTAATACCTATTGCCCTTTGGTATGTCAGAATGTATTATTAATCAACAAATAAATACATATATTTAAAAAAAATCGGAATAATAATGTACTAACGGTTTTTAATACGTTGCAATTTTCTACAAATATTTGATATCAAATTCCATTTAGGCCTAATTTGTAGGTTGTCTATCCGAAACTTTTTAAAATAAAACATTTTTATTTTGAATATATATATCCAGCTGTTTTCTTATCCAGGTGGCTTTTACTTTATATATAACGTTTTTTGTTTTATATTTCTCAGTATTGTTAAATCTGGTTTTGAAGAAAGAAAAAAATCTTGATATAGTTGGACCGTAAAGCAAATCTCAGCAAATTATTACTGCAAGCATACGCAAAATATTTATCTTATAGGTTTTCCAAAGATAAACATGATTACTTTGTCTAATTTTTAGTTGCTTACCTTGTAAATGTATTTAAAAATAAGTACGCTGATTTTATAAATTTTAAAATATATATTGAAGTAAATCGCTATTATTATTCAATATTGTCATACTCAAAATTATAATCCATCACCAAATAATCCATATTGTTTTTTATTTTGACTCCAAATAATATTTAATCATTATAATATAAAGGAAAAAACATCTTTAACGAAGTAGTTTGATCGTTTTTTATCAACAGTTATACCTTAGCAGTATGGATCATCTAGATAATATTTTAAAATGATATTTCGATGTCAATAAAAATGACTAAGTTACAAAGCATGTTGAAATGCACCCATCTCTTTAAGTCAAGGCGCGAAGTCAATATACGGAAAAATATTAAAAATACAACTCATATTATTCTTTCTGTTTTAGATATATTACATATATTACTATGTTTTAATTTGTTCAAGAAATTTTTAAAATTCAACAATGATAAACTTTATAATACAACAGTCATTTAAAATAATTTATAAACATATACCATAATATATAATAACGAAAACATGAAAAGAAATATTAATGTGATAGAATGCTATCTATGAAGACTAGTATTGACGATAAACATTAATAATGCTAAAGTACAATTAGACTAGAAATAACATTTATATGTGAAGGTAATTCGTATAATACAGCAATATATACAACTAGATTACTACAACCAACAAATAATGTGTATAATTATCGGTTAATATAATATACGATTTCAATAGGCACTTAAAGGGGTCGTGTCTCTAGGAGCAGTTACTTTTAGATGCTGCTTCTTCAGTAAGTTCCGGTCAGCCGAAGTAATATTGGGAATTGGCAGCTGAAAGGCTCCGAGGAGGAACCGATGCTGGGTACCGCACCACCTGTAGAATAATTTTAACCTCAATAACCTGTTTTTTTAATTTCTGTAACGGGGAATTTGTCGTTCGTGAGTCACGAAAACATGTTATAGGCATATGTTTTTGCTACCTGTAAAACACCTTAATGTATATCACATAATAATTACCTTGGGTTAAAAAATCAAATTCATCCTCAAACGTTACATTAAAAAATGTCAAACATTCAGAGGATTTTATATCATATATTATATGTAAAATCTTAAATATATGAAGCACAAATACATGCATACTCACACACTGATAGACATAACTAATAAAAAACAAGATAATAATCATTAAAATTAATTTTTTAATTTTTTAAAATATACACAGGTTGTTCAGTAAATAGACGGAAATATTGATAAGAGTGATAGCAGACATCAAACAAAAAAGTTTATATAAAAATATATTTTTGAATTGAAGTAATTAATAATTGCTTGCTCTACGGTAAGGTACGCAAAGGTAGTGGTTTTTGCTGAAAACTTTAGGTGGTACATTAAGATGACAGTATATAAAATTACATAATTCCACTTACAAAAGGGAACTTAATTAATATGGACTTAAAGCTAATTAATGGGGAAAGCTTTTTTAAAAATGGATATAGTTGGATGATGATAAAAAAATCGCGAACAATTTATGAGTTTTTAAAAAACAAAACTTCCTCTAGTTTTGTATACAAATAAAACTTTTTATAGTTTACAGTGAAGCAATTGATAATTACTTAAATTGAGTATTTCTTGTACTATCGTTTCCCATTCCACAAAAACACGACTTGTTTCAAAAAACAGAAAACTTGGATTTCCTAATTTTCTGTTGAAAATTTACCCAGTGTTTTTATGAACATTTTTGTAGATCAAGAGTACTGCAATCGTTCCTATAAAATATATACGGAATAGAATATATATATATATATATATATACCCTATGTGGTAAAACCACACAAGGATCGTTTATTTGATTTTCCTTCATGCTCCATGCCTTAAAGACATACTACATGAATTATATTTGTTTACAATTTTTTCTTTTCCAGTTTTACATGATATACTTTTTTAGTTCAAATTTATATATATTAACAAACAAAAATACAAAGAATAAACACACAAAAATAAAACAAAAATTAAATCGGAATATTAAATATTTAACACAGAAAGTCAATCCAACAAAGTCAACAAGAAATCACCCACGCTGCCCATCCCTGGTAAGTAAGTCGAAGTCGATAGATCTAATAAATCTAAGAAAGTCTGTCTTGAATTCAGTAAATAACTTTTGTTCCGTCTCAGGCCAATTTCCACTTTTGATAACTATGCTTTTTATTAACTCAAATCGCTGTCTGTCAAATCGTAAATGATATTTCATATAATTATATATATATATGTTATAAAAAAAACATAAAACTAAAGTTATCATGTTATAAAATAAACAGGATTGTAAACACGTTGCGTTTTCGTTTTGATTACATTACATGCAGCTGTAAACTAGCTTGTTTATGCCACCCCTGAATATTGCATTAATAAATCAGTAGCATAAGGGCATTGCAAACGATTCATTAAATTTGTTTTCAGTCCTCCGTGATTGCGATATGAATAATGCAAACTAACTGACACCGAGTGCCGTCATGCTGTAATATCAGTTTGTTGCTATGTTTAGTTAATGAGATTCGACCTTTTGTATAGGTTCTGTTTGTGTTTTAATGGACGTAGCTAAGGAAATTATTGTATTTTCTGGCTTATGTCACAGTAATTATTATAGTTATAAACTTCTTCGTTTGACGTTTAGAATCTCTAGGGTCTCCTTTTTTTTGTTTTTATAATAAATGAAGAAGTAAAAAAATAGAACGTATAATAAAATTGATGACAACAAATAAATAAATAAGAAAAAAATAAACTCTCTCACATACACATGTTTAATGCTATTACATACCTCACTAGGCTCCGTGGGCAGAGGAGTGGCTATCGTGAGGTCTACATCCCCTTCGAACATCTCCCCTGTGTAAGATGGTACAGACGGTGGAGCAGGAGGCTTGCGGCGAACCCAGGCAAGCCTAGCTGCGACCAAGGCGAGGAGGCAAACCAAACCTCCACCGGCTGAGACAGCTATGTACAGCACCAGTCGTTCGATGTTATCTGAAGTAATAACCATAAAGTAATTTACATTGTGCATACCTTGGCCAGTTACTGATTGGCTGGGGAAGGATGAGGAGAAAGGAATAAGGAGGAAGACTAGAGTTATGAAGACGGACTTGAACAACACGCTAAAGTATATGAGGAAGAAAAAATGTAAGTTAGTGGAATAAGTCTCATTTGGTTCGGCAACAATGGTTATTTATAATGGTATTTTTTCTGGATAGATTGAGGAACAAGCCTGGAATCAAAACCTCTCGTAACACGTAGGAGAGACGATGCGACAATGCGCACAACAGCTCTGCTCTAAGCACTAGTGGATTCAGGATTTAATTTTTTTTTTGGGGGGAGGAGCTTCAGCTCGACAGCTTTTTTTTCGTATAAATAAGGATAATTACTTTGGAAAAAAATAAAGAAACTAACTACCTACATTTAATGGTGTTTAAGTGATTCCTAAAGTCCTTTTAAATGGCATTTCACGAACAATAATACTTTAAGAGATAATGTTTTAATATTTTTTTCTATGAAACATGGTTATATTTTACCATTATATTTTTTAGGGGGAGGGGCTTCAACCCCAAAGCCCCCTCCGCCCGTGGCTCTGAGTAACCGAATCCTATTGAACTGTTGCTCACAAAGGAGTGCAAATTTTATCGGTAGGCGTCGAACTCCTACTGCAAGAAGATAAGACAAATTTTATTTTTAAGAAAGAAGGTTGAACCAGGTTTCCCGATAATATTCAATGAATTATTGCAACTCACACTTGACACCATTTAGCAGTGGAATCGAGTAACTAGTCTTATAGGCTCTACCTTAAGATAATACTTTCCTACCGCCTATTCTCAGTTGGAAGCCAGACTTGTTGTCTGAGATTACTGGGTGTCACAACTCCTCACGGGGCGGAGAAGAGGTGGAGGAGGTTTCACACTAAACCTCTAGCCTTAGAGATATACATTACCCTAAGCTTCTATTGTAGTGTTCCGAAAACTGCCTAGCATGTCGTCATGATCTGCACCGCATTTGAGACGATAAGGGTAAAACTTCCAATAAAAACTAGGCTGTACATCATCATGGAAAACAGTGGCAAGAAGACAAATTTGAAAAACGAATTATTAAAAGAATATAGGTCGAACTGGTAGTTATCCCAGAAATCTGTGTTGCAGAGAGGCAGAAAAGAACGTACATAATTTAATAAATAATCCATTATAGATTATGATATATAAAAAATATATAGTAACTTAAGGAAAAGAGGGAGGATTCCATTAAAGCATTGGCTAGGAACCAGGACGGTTAATGTGCTTGAGTTGAGAAACCTTCATACTGAGAGACATAGTGGAGAAAGAAAATATAAATTTTGGTTTATAAAAGTTTAGGTACTTGTTTTATTGTTTCTCTCCTTTAAAACTAATTAAATGTACCCAGCATTATTTTATCGTGATAAATATTATTAACGACGTCCTTTTTCTCATATTCGGACTTGTTAAAGATGTATAAAAACGAGAATTGGTTCAGCTGAATGTTCTAGAATCTAGAAAAAAAAAATTAATTTCAGGATTAAAGTGAACAAAAAAAGAAAGAAAAAGAAACCATTGTTACAGTAGGAAGCTAGAACCACAATACCACTGTTTTAATCAAGAGATTCCAGAGATCAAACGTAATTTTCACACCCATTTAACAAAAATTTAATTCAAACTATTAACATTTCTTCTTCCACCGGCGATGCACACTTCCCTTCTAGATGAAAAGTCTCCCTTCATTTGAACATTGTTCCTTTCATTAAAGCAAAGTTGCCTCTCTCTCTCTTTCTCAGTCTAATTTGATTAAAGTATTAGCACTGCAAGGCCTCCCACTTCATCAACCTGTCTCTTTCCTTGAAAGTATTTGCTATTAAATTATTGATAAGACTAAAGGAGAATTCTTCAGTAGATTAAAATAGAATGCAGGAATTCGTTTAAAAGTATTTGTGAAGTTTATCAGCTCCTGTGACTTATACATTCTTCAGTAATATAATATGTAACACTTTAATGCATGCGCTAGAATTATTCAGGATAAAGACATCAGCGAGAATCCTTTAGGAAGTGACTTCACAAAATTTGTAACTGAAACTAGTTTATAAATGTTTATATAAGTCATCCTTAACCTTTTATTTAAAAATATATATATGGCCAATACTCAGCGTTTAGTGATTAATCAAAAAATAAAGTTTCATAAAAAATCTTCATTCACCATGGAATAAATGATATGAGTTCAAGTTTTTAGAAACACTTTATTGAAAGAATGAATGAATAAAAATTTATTTCATTATTCTGGGAATACTCCACTTATTCCTGTTGAGCAAATCCGCTACTTAGGACTCCATTTGGATAAACGTCTTACTTGGAATCCTCATAGTAGACTGAAACGACAAGAAACTGCTCGACGTTTCCGACTGCTCCAACACTTACTAGACAAAAGCTCCAAACTTTCTATTAATTACAAAAGACTTATCTACATAACTATAAGAAGACCTATATGGACATACGGAGTTGAGCTTTGGGGCTCCACCAAACCATCGACTTCCTATCGTATCCAATCCTTACAATCCAAAATCCTCCGTAAAATCCTTAATTCTCCATACTTTGTCACAAATAAAACCATTCATAAAGATCTTAATGTATCATATGTCGCTGATTTAGCTCGAGCCAGTTATCTATCCTTTCATGATAAACTTCAGTCCCATCCAAATCCGCTTGTTTCCACTCTTGCTTCTTTCTCGAAACTAAAATAACCTTAATAAATTGAAGTAGTCGCAGAGGGTACTAAGATAGTTCTCTTAGGTATATTTCGTAATCAGTCGGATTGAGAAAGGAATAGGTGTTTAAAAAGGAGAGGTTTGAAAGAGGAATCTGATTGAACGTGTCGAATATCAGCAGGGATGGGAATCCAGAAGGATGCGGCTTGAATTGCAAAGGATTTGTCAAACGCAGCAGTTCGGTGAGGAGGAGGATAGAGGTCGGAAGTACGAGATCTATTGGGACGGGATTGGATGTAGTATTTAAATTTAAGCTGTGAAAGATATAGGAGGGTCGATGGGTTCTAATGATCTGGTACAGAATGGTGGCTAGGAACTACTGACGGCGATAGGATGGATAGAGCCACCTCAACTCCGTGTAATACTGGGTGATATGCGTATCTCTTGAGATTCCGAAAACAAAACGTAATGCGCCATTCATTAGGCGTTTGGTCTCGAAATCTTCCGAGAGTCAACCGTACACCATGCGACCATAGTCGAAGTAGGGAAAAACAAGAGATGAAAGTAGGAGTTGACGGGACTTATATATTTATGAATATATTTCCAAAAGTACTATATATTTTTTCGTAGATTGAATTTTAGCTATCTTTCTATTTCACAAATAGAATTTGAATTGAATTAAAAAAACGATTAGTACAATAAGAATGTTTGTAATAATTGTATACATCTTACAGATCGATCCCTTAATATAACCTTAATTATAGAGAAAAAAACATTAGAAAAATAATAAATATAAGAAAAATATATAAAATATGCTATAATAATAAATAAAATGATATAATAAACATAAGAGATGCTATGATCTATGTTATATTCTCATTGAACTGTGGCTGCTTAAATCTAAAATTTAAAAGTTTTTTCTTCGTTTATTACACACTATTAATAAATCCAAAACGTCAGTAGTAAAATCCTGAAAAGCAACAAAAGTCATACAAATAAAAAAAATAAAATATTAGAAAATATCTTCCTACTGAAAAGTTTCATTGAATAACAAATATAAATATAAATAAAAAGTTAACTGGACATAAGTATCTAAAGTAGTTTGATAAATAACTATTTATAATGAAGTTACATACAGCGGATTCAAATGTCAATGATACTGTTGAATCAATTGTAATTCAATTGATGAATAATGGGACAAGCTCATTTCCATTGACGAGTTGTTAAACGGTTTGGTAAATTCCAGATGCAATTAATGATCTCAGTGATGAGATTAGAAACGTGCCGAATAACAATGTCTAAAATTTAGTATATCTGATATATTGCTTTGATTTGCTGATATATTGCTTACTTTGCTTTCTTAATTAATAAAAATGGACCAAAAGTTTGTAAAATTTGGACGTTATAATAATTTTATCTATTTATCGCGTTGGCACTACAACCTAAGGGTGGGTCTTGGCCTCCTCAAGAAGAAGTCGAGGATATTTAAGTCATTATACAGAGTGTATAAATCCCGGTGTCTTCGTCACCTGCAAACTTCTTCTTTCACAGAGCCGTATATCCGTCGCAAAATTTTTCGTTCGAATATAACGAGAGTATTTCATTCGTCATGTCATTGGTCGATGTCACCGGGGATTCGAGGAAGGTAAACTCCTGTACTCTTTGAAATTTGTAAGGGGTTATTTCTATAAAACTTTCATCATGCATAAATCTGTAGGCCACAAACACCATTTATTTAGTTTTGGCCTCATTTATCTCTAGTGCCAAAAGTGCTCCTGTTTGAGTGCCAGAAAAGCGTTAATGTCTGTTATGTTAAACAACAATGTCTAAAATTTACTATACCAGATAAATTATCTTTGCTTTAATAATTATTAAAAATGCACTTAAGTCATTTTAAAAGTTTGGAAAGTTGGGACGTTATGATAATCTTATATTCGTACTAATTATTTTTAAATAACTAAAAATTCTTTACGAATTTTCCAATGATACTATATTTCTGTAAATTGTACGTTTTTGTGTGCAATTAATTGACAATATAGAAACGGTTAACGTATTATTTATCTTTTTTTTAACGTGCCTAAACATAAAAGCATTAATCTGATATATTCACAATTAAACCGTAATGATAAAATTTTTATTTACATAATTTGGTAATTAAATTTATCACCATTTCCTAATCACTAAATATGGAATAAGTTTGGTAGTCGGATGAAAACAAAGTTTGAGATCTCACGTATTTTCTTAGAAATATTTACCAATTTACATTTTTTCG